CTGGGATTACAGGCATTTGCCACTACACCTAGCTTTGCATACATCACCACAACTTAATCTATTTAACTCTTTCAGAAAGGAGAAGGAAAATAATTGAATCAAATGGAATTTGTATAAGGGAGGGGAAGAGGAAATAAAAGGCTTAAGAAACATTTTGTACATGTACTAACTCTTCACAATGAATGTGTCATCATGTACCACAATGGTACTAAAAAGAAGTGTATCAAAAAACCAAAGGAAATATATCTAATTAAGTAAATTGTTGGATTTCAGATTCTGGGAGTAATTAGCACAAAAATAAGATTTTACTTGGATTCCTAAGAGAATCAGAATAATGCTGCACTTCTATGGATTTACATAGCATCATTACTCCACTGAGCTTGAATATATAAGCAGAAGATAACAGTAAAAAGAATCTACCATCTATTGAGAGATCTGAGTCAGGCATTTTGTTGTAGTGCATTTGCAAAAGACAGACAGTAAGTGATGTCCACAATACATCCCTGAGTCACTGATGGACAGCTCACAACCTCCATTCCTCTGACAGCAAAGCCAAAGTCCTTTGGTCCCAGAGGTCCCTAGGCTCTTGGAGAAGAATGAGGAAAACATGGCTTCTTGACTTCCTGCCTGGTACTTCTTCAAGACCAGCCCATGGCCAGGTCTCCTCGCTTCTCTGTCTTGTGGGAACTTTGGGGGCAAGGAGAGATGTGAGAGCAGCCATCGTGTGTCCACTTAGCACAGGGCAGGGTCGGTGGCACAGTGCAGACGTGAGGCTGTGGCTGAGAGAGAGGTCCTCCTGGGTGTCTGCAGGGAGCTTCTCTCCCCCATGTCCTGCTTTTCTTGTTTCTAAAAGAGAATCTGGAAAAGGAGAGGATATCCCCCTGACATTCATCGTCTTTAGACACTCTGGCTGGTTGTCTGTGCTCCAATTCAGCAAACTATCATGTTCCAGGCTGGCCTGTGGAGGGCTTCCAAACAGACTGTCCTCAGTCCCTCACGATGGGACCTCATGAAAACCCCAACAGCCCACAAGGAATTGCGCCGGGGGAACCACGCAGCAGGGAGCGGGGGAGAAGCAGAAGTGGGGAGCCACTGGGATGATTTATTACACAGCAACAGATAATGAAACAGACCAGGCAACATACATCAATCCATTCTTTTAACTCAAGGGCCATGTGATTGATTGTGCTTTTATTTAGATCAGATTTTGGACAGCATACTATCAGTAACAGGAGGATGTTCTACTAGCTATGAGATCATCCTCTTCAGCAACTCCTTAAACACTGTGGTGCAATTCTTCAAAAAAACATTCCCATGACTTTTTCAGAACATCTTCTCTGAGGAAGAACATTTCCAGATATAAGTTTTCTTTCATCTTAGGAAGTTATGAAGTACATTAATTTTTAAAGGATCTAAGATACTGCATTTTAAATTACTTTCCCTCCTCCCAAAAGAGTTTTGAAAGCTTTCCACAATTATCAAATATTTCTTAGGATTAAGAAACATAGTCACCCTAATTAAAGAGTTTGTTCAAGACAGTTTTAAAAATCTATTGGTAGTTAGTATAGTTTTCAAACTAATAATTAAAAACAAATTACTACTCCCTTAACATCTCACTTAGCTTCAAAAGAACCCTCCAGAAACCATACATCGAGAAGTAACATAAAGTTCCAGCTACAAAATAACAAACCAAAAATCATTAGAACTTCAGAGCAGGAATAACATTTAAAGAAGAAATGAGTTGGGAGAAATAAACACACTTTGCAGACTGTAAGGCTGATGCCACATAAAGAAAAATATGATATCATTTATTATTTTCTGTATTCTAGGTATTGTTTTGGGGCATATAAATATCTGTGTCCCAGAAAAACGGAACATGGTACTTTCTCACTTTTACCTGATTACTGATTTTTTAAAAATAGTTTTAAAAGGATATTTTTGAGTATACCAATAAAACCTAGGGCAGATATACTTACAATGAGCTGATTTGTGGGTATTCAAGATATTCCCCAAGTTATACATGAAGTAATATAAAAGGAGTTTAGTAGAGAGAAGCACCCCAATTAACCTGTCCCCACATTTCCTAGTTAATGTGGTCTGTAGGATCGTTCATAGTGTGCTCATGGGGGACTTTGGGAAGGTGCTTGGATGGTGGGAGTGAGACACTCACTGACGAGTATATAGCTAACTGTGGTGTCAGGAGGTGAGGCCTGGTAAGAGGAGGTGATCACTGGGCGTCTGACCTCGAAGGATCCATCTCCCTTCCTTCTCTTCTCACCTCGCTCTACTTCCTGCCTGCCATGCCATGAGCCTTTGCCCCTATGCCATGCTCTCTGTCATGCTGCCCTGCCTCGGAGCCAGCCCACTATGGACTGAAACCTCTACAGACTGTAAACCAACATAGATCTTTCCTCCTCTAACTTGTGAGTGTCAGGTATTGTCTCAGTGATGAGAAAATAAGACAGCAGGTCTCTCCTTCTGTTTTAGAACTTATCTGGCATTTCAGGATGGCATCACAGCAACCCAGAGTGCACCTTGATACAGGAATCAGAGGTTCAGAGAAAGGAAGATGCCACAACACACTTACTTGGCACCTTGTACACATAGATAATCTTATAGTCGGACCTGGGAGGACACAGGAGAAAGGGTCTGTCCCTGTGTGTGAGCATCTGCCAAAGGCAAATGTGAGCAGATGAGAGGTAATGTAGCCAAACAGCTGGAAACTGATGCACCATCATGACTAGTCAGAATGAGGGGGGTGACAAATGCCACAGTGAAGCACCTGACCCCCTTCAGGTCCTGCTCTTCATGATCTGTTCACTATGGTGTGGACTTCATAACTGTGGTTTGTGGAGGCCTGTGGCTGTCATGTGCCATGCAGCCCTGGCAGCTCTTAGCTTACACACTGCCCAGATGGCTGGTTTCAGAGGGCCCTGGACACACATGCACACACCTATTAATTGTTACATTACTGATATAATCACACACTGATACCAAGCATAGCTTAGGAGGCCCCTGTCTAGTCCGGTATTTCACAATCACTGATCTCCACTCTTCCCTCAAAACCCACCCTGCTTTGTAAGCTCTGTTCCACCTTAGCCTGTCTGCTAAGGAAGTTCTGTCTCAGGTAACTCCAGATTCTCATGCAGAATCCCAAGCTCTTTCTCTTCCAAGTTTTCCTCCAAAAAGCAGAGATTCCTTGCCTGGGGGCAGGTAACTGATCAGTACCTGGAAGGCATGACAAGTGTTTCTCATGGGAGCAGGTTGATTTCTATAGATTTCCCATATTTTTGATCACTTTTATAGTTCCCTCAATCCTTTCCCAATTCCCTTTATTTTACTGTGGCTCAGAAAATAAGCCAAACTTGGTCTCACTCAAAGCACCAATAAACACTACAGAGCAAGACAGGGTTGTGTCAGGGTTCCCAATGACAGTGAGTGTTCTACATACTAAGATGCTAGATAATCTTTACTAAATCCGTTACAGCTTGCAATGGGATCCCAGGGTCCTACTTCAAAGGAGTGCTGGGAAAGAGGAGCAGGACTGGTGGGGAACCCACCTACCCCAGAACCACAGCTGTGAACCCTCCCCTTCAACATGCAGCTGGGAGAACCTTCCATGATATTCCCAGATGCAGACAGCACTTTTCAAGGCTCCTAGGAGCAGAAGGCTGGATGCCAGTGTTGGGTGCTCCAGTGATGAATGATTCTTTATTGAGATAACCTGACCTCCTTCCATACTTTCCTCATTCCCATGTTAGCTATGTCTCCTGGACCAGCAAACCCACAAGGGTCCTGGAGATTCATGATGACTCATGTTCTTGTTTGTTTGGGGTTACTTCGGTGTGGAGATGATAGATTTAGGAGTTTCGGGGGTGATGGAAAGGTTGAAATAGTCAACATCCATGGGTGGCAATCATGTCCATGTAGGAAAAGCTACCACTTTAGGGCTGGAGATTGGAAATGCAGAGACCCAAGTATACAAAGTCATCTTCAGAATGTCAAGTTCACCAGATGCTTCCAGTCAGGTAGATACAGATGTTGAATGTTGGTAAGGATTTGGATGGAGACTTGTGTCTCCATCAGCACAACCTCCAGCTTTTCCTAAGAGCAGCAAATCAGAAAGCCTGCCCACAGGGGCCAGAGAGGCCTTACTGGCCTGGCATACGATGCTGGCACAGATTCCCCACTGCCCCCACAGGGCACGATGGTCTCTGGAACCAGAAAGCCAATACAACTCTGCTTTATCTCCCAGAAAATAAACTTCTTAACATGCACTTTTTAAGGTTGCCAATCTCCTTTTAGCTGAAGAAATATATAAATAAATTTCACCCCGAGCCAAAAGGAATTTTAAAATACCAACACATTAAAAGAAAAAAGTGAGACAGAAAGAGATCAAAACGAGAGAGACACAGATCCAGCATGGGAGGTTTTAGGTTTCTACTGAAGCCCTGGGTAAGAGTTTATGAAAAATTCTGGTGAAAATTTATTGCAGGCATAGATTTGGTGCTAAAATGAAGATTTCTATAATGAAAATGATGGTTTAGCTTTCACCAGAACACAACAACAGCAAGGAGACAGTTAATGCACTACTTCAGTTTAGCAAGAATTTGGCATCTGGTTTTGATTCTCAGGGTAAAAAATATGGTTTGTCAGACATGGAGAAAAAAACCACACACACACACACACACACACACACACACACACACACACACACACACACACACGGTAGGCAGAATGTCTAGAAACAGACCATTTCCCCAACAAAAACCTATGAAATAATTCCTAAAAAGAATGATTTGCTTCCCCTGACAAGGAAGCTTTTATCCCTTTCTTCTCTCCTAGGTGGCGGTATGATACACACAAAAGAGGACTCCAGGCCCTACAAGGTATGCTAGCGCTCAGAAACCAGGAAGAAGGAGGAAGACCCCAGGAAATTCACTTAAGGCATCAGTGAAGTCGAAAAACAGCATTTGGAGACAGAGAAGACTGGAACTCACCGGCTCCACATCATAGGAAAAAAGTGCATATTCTCTATCTGGAGATATTTCATATCTGATGGCTTTTAGTGATTCCTAAAAGAAAAAGAAAAGAAATTTAAAGTATTATATATTATGCATTATAACTCAGTATCTTGTAGAAAATCCATGTCTGATGGCATAGTTTCAAAATTTGCTACTAAATTAGTGGGCAGCAAACTAATAACCACAGCATCTAGTAAAATGACTAGATCCTCTCTTTGTTAGCTGATTGACAACCAATGCTTTTCCCTACTTTATTTGTATTTTTCTATTTTCAACAAGACAATTTTTATTTTATCTCCTGAAACAAATCAACAAAAAGGTTCACAGAACATCACAGAACAACCTTTTCCTGCAAGACTTCTCAATATGCTTTTTTTCTCATATTACCATACCTCAAAGCATATACGAAGCAGTCGGCTATTAAACAGACTGATAGTTTACAGATCATTCTTTAACTTGTTTGCTCTCCCTTGGGGATACCCTGCAGGTCAGTATCTGGAGGACTCCGATAGCTTTTCTGCCGACTTCCTCCCTAGAGCACCAGTCACTGTACCTAAGCAAAGTCACCAGGCACTCAGCTTCTCCAACTCAGCCTGCCTTCTGCACTCAAATGCAGGGCCGTGCCAACCCCACCCACTCTGGGGAACCTCTTTGCCAGCTTGAGGGCCATCACTGCATAATACTCAGATGCCCATAAGGGACAAAGGCAGACAGGACGGTTGATGATGACACATTCTGCATCTTAGCCTTCTCGTGCAAGGATGCCTTAAGGAAATAACACAAAGTTTCTTGAATCTTTAAAAATTTCCTAACACTTTATTTCCCATCTGCTACCTTAACTTTCTCAGTAGTCACTACTAGTTGCCAGCCTTGTTCTTGATGACTGTTCTAATAAGTCACCATAAATGGAGAGTTGGTAAATACTAAGCCACTGCTGCAAAGGGAAAGACAGGTCCTGTTCCTGCAAACCTTTTTGGTTACATTGTGCTGACCAGTGACTGTGTAACCTTGCTCTGTTGCAAGGTGTCTTTCTGGCTGTGAGGCACTCAGCACTGGCACTGAACTCTGGGCTAGCAGTGCAATGGCTCAGCTCAGATGGAGCGTCTCTGACACACCTATTTCCTCCTCTCAGGCTTTAAGCACCTAGGACAGGAGACAGCACTTCAGCACTTTGTCCTCAACAGACCACGGGAAAGATGCAGTAGTTGGTTATGGTGTGAGAGCAGAGAGGAGGGCAGAGCACGCCTGGCTCCCCAGCTGGGAAACTGAACACTGGACCACACCCAGGTTTGCTGTTCTCCCGGAGCACAACTGAGCAAATGCTACACTGCTCAGGAGATCCAAAATCCTAGGGAGGAAGTCGTAGCAAGCAGTGAGGTGCAGACTGCAAGCCTGGATGTGTGCTACGTGGTATCTCCTGTGTGTCCTGAGTGTGTACCATGCAGTCAGAAGACGCTAGTGCATGCATGTTGGATGGTGTGCATGCATGTGTGTGTGCATGTGTGTGTGTGTGCATGTGTGCGTGTGCGTGTGTGTGTGTGTGTGTGTGTGTGTGTGTGTGTGTGTGTGTGTGTGACATTTTCACAGGAGACACTTGTAAGCCTGGCAGTCATGTAGCATTTGTGGGCAAGTGTTTTAAAAATGTAAACAGTTGTTGCCAAGTCGCTTTTTAGAAACGGTTTATTCACAGGCATTTCCAACACCAAGATATGGTGGACTTTTTCCTTCTCAAAGCATAACTAACACGCTTGTCCTTTGGGTGTTTTGTGTACTAGGGACGTGACCAAGGCCTTTCACGCTGACTTACATCTCTATACTGAGTCAGTGAATTGGCCAGGCTGGGCTTGGACTTACGATCCTCCTGCCTCAGCTTCCCAGAGTGCTGGCATTACAGGCATGCACCCCTACATTCAGGGGTCCTGAGACCTGAACCCCGTGGGTTCCACTGATCCTTTATGAAACCATGCTCATAGTTACCAGTGTCCTCATTACTGGACTAGGCAGTGGGGATTTTGTCCTTAGAAATCTGTCCAGCCACCTCCCCTTAAAGCGCTTTCTGTACTGATTTCCCTCTTTCTATTCTTTGTTAAATGTACTCTTGTCATGTACCTCGCCCACCGCTGCACCCAGATGATCTTCTCTAGGGTAACAAAGTCTTACTTCGATAAATGCAATAATTCTTGCTGTCACTTTACTTGACAGCAAACCCTGTCCTCCTCCTCCTCCAAGCTCTGCTGTGCGTGGCCTCCTGTGCTCCTCCCGCCTCCTCAGTGGGGTTTGCCTGCTCTTCAGTGTGCCTGGTAGCCCCTTGACTTCTGAGCATTGTGGTGCTGGGACCAGTATTTACATCACCTGGGTGACACCTCTGGTCTCGTGGCTCTAACACCTGCTGAATACACCAGCCTGCACTCTCCTGCCCAGCCACTGTGCCCAGGCGAGGCCTAACCTTAAACCTCATACTGCACATCTACCAGCCTCCCTGGCAGCTCTCGCTCAGTGGATGCCCGCAGGGAAGTCTCACATGATGCAGGGGCCTCTGAGCTTCCCTGTCCCTTTCCTGTGTGTTTCAGAACAGGGAGTGTGGCCCTGTACCAGTCTGGAGCCTGTTAGGAGCTGGGCCACACAGCGGGAGGGAAGCAGTGGGAATGCAAGGCTTCGTCTGTATTTCCAGCTGCTCCCCTCACCCCAATAGCATCCCTGCCTGAGCTTCCCCTCCTGGTAGATTAGCAGCACCAGCGGGAAATTCTCACAGGGGCAGGGACCCTGCTGTGTGCTGTGCATGGGAGAGATCTAGGTTGGGTGCTGCTTTGAGTCATCTCAAAACCTTTCCCTTTACAGGTCCCCAGGCTATGGAAAAATTGTCCCCCATGAAACCGGTCTCTGGTGTCAAAAAGGCTGGGAACTGCTCTCTGCAGTTCTCATTTCTCTTAGCTTTGTTCTCAAATGCAACCATCTCAGTGAGTCCTCCCTTGTCCTCTATATAGAGAAACTAATAGTGCACCTCAAGCTTTCCGTGGTGCCCCACTCTGATGCATCTCCTGGACTGCATCACTATTGGAGGTAACAGACATACCTATTTTGTATTTTGCCCATTTCTTTCACTAGAACGTAATCTTCATGTAAAGAGGGTTGCTTATTTTAACGTTCAATTTCCCTTAGCAATATTTGTGGGTTTTAGCACAGGTCTTGCCATCTTTTGTTAAATTTATCCCTAAATATTTACTATGGTTGATGTTTTGTATGGAATACATGTGTGTTCCAATTCCATTCTATGCCTCATATGCAGAAATACAATGGGCATTCCCACCTTGACACTGTGTTCTCAAACAGCTAGGCTCATTTGTTTTAGTAGTTTTTATAGATTCCTTAGAACTTTCTACATGGTCCTATCTGCTGTGAGCAGTTTCCTTCTTTCTTCTCTCTCCGCTGGGATCTTTTTATTTCCCTGTCACCCTCTGAAGAAGACCAGCCCCTAGGTGAGTGTTAGTAAGGGTGGATGCTCTCTCATTTATCCTGACTGTAAGGAGGATGCATTTGCCATTTCCATCTTGTATAATATTAGCAGCAGATCTTCTTCTAGAAGAAACCTTATATCAGGTTGAAGATGTTCCTGGTGAGAGCCCCGTGTGGGGCCAGGATGGCAAGGAGCATCACATGGAGGGGGCAGGGAAAGTGCCCTGGCTTGGTTCTCTCTTCCTCTTGTTATACGGCCTCCATGCCATGATGGGGCCATAAACTGAGGATATCATCCTATCCTAACCCTGCCTATAGGCCAACTCCAAATAGATTAGCATAGGAACTGAGGATTTCCTGATGCAGGAACACCGGGGGACATCATCAAGCACTTGTTTTTGTAAGTTTGTGTAGAATTAACATTCTTTTCTCCTGAAATGCTTGGTAGAATTGATCAGTAAAGCTGTCTGGGTCTCAGTTACCTATAAGTGTATATACTTGATTACGTAATATGGAGCTGTCTGTTCACTCATTTCCCCATGAGTGAACTGTGGTGATATGTGGGTTGCAAGGACCCACACTGTGCACCCCACACACCAGTCACCTAAGTGTTGCCCTCAGTGTTGTGATAGAATGTTACAAAGCCTTTGTGAACAGGGGGCGATCCATGTGATTTGGGGAATGGGTGAAAGGCTCGGACCGAAAGGTCCAGAACGAGGATGGAGAGAGCATCTTCAGAGCCTCCTATGTGTCCAGTCTTCATTGCACAGGACATAGTAAAGAGCCCAAGCAGTACACATCAGGAGCTTAGGAAGGTACTGTAGGCTCTTAACTCTTACTTTACAAAGCTTAGAAGCAGTGATGCTGGCATGTGGATGTCACTGAGAAGGTGTCACGTGTTTTAAGTGAAAAGTCAGAAGTTCCTGACTTAGTCAAGGCAAGAAAACCATCCCATGTAGAGACTGCTAAGACCTATGGTAAGAACCCATTTTCTGCCTGTGGAAGAGTTAAAGAAAGTCACTCCTGCTCCTTTTCTGGCACACTTGGACCCACAAGTACGATGCCATGATCTGCTTGGCTAGGAGAAAGGCACTGGATGTACAGCGCTGATACCCATGGGTTCAGGCGTGGCCTGGGGGGTTGAAGGTATCCTTTGTGCTAAGCTGAGACCACTCTGAGGGGGCCACTGTGACACAGCAGAGCTCAGCTCTCCATTCTCTCTGCTATCAGCTGAGTAACCGAGAAAAACATTCTTTTAGCATCATGTTTCTGATCAATAAAATGAGTAAAAAGCATTCTGGCTCACTGAATTCCTAAGGAGATAATGTCCATGCAGCATGAAAGAAGTGACCTCTGGTGAACATTTCCTTATAAGCTTTCCCTTCCCTAGCCCCTTGTTCCTGTCTATCTACAGTTATTTTCCTAAAGCTCCTGGTGTACCTTTGCTTGGGCTCCTTTCTGTACCCTGTGCAGTGAAGACTGGACACCCAGGAGGTTGGGGGCAAAGTTTTTATCTCTAAGTGTAAGCTACCTAAGAGTAAAGCTGCATGTTAATACTAATCCTGGTGTCCCCTGCCCAGACTTCATGGCCAGTGCCT